CAATACAAAGAGAGCTAAACCCAAACAAGGATCTACATCATGCTCTTAAAAACTCTAAATATAGAAGGAGAGTACCTCTGTGAAGGGGCAAACAGATTCCGCTATTTTAGCACGAATCTCTCTGGACCTCTCTGTGCAGGCTGTGTAGAGAAGGCTGATGCTAACCAAAGCCACAAACGACATCAAACCTGACCGAAGCCAATTCTAATGGAGGGTGGACTGCATGAAAAATCTCTTTTTTGAATAGTAGCAGGAATAAGACATGAACCTTCTCGAGCTAGCAACCGCACAAACTATACCAAGCCATAACCATAGAGTTCATCGGGAACTCAGCGGCTAATGTAGGACAACGCACAAAGTCAAGGACAGAACCAACTGCCAGTGGCCACTAGCTCTTCACCCAAAACTAACTCTCAACATCGCTATATCAAACACCTGTTCTGTAGAAAATTTTTTGTTGTTAAAGGAGGTTTCATTTCTACACAACCAGATTGAACATATGAATCCAAACAATGCTAGCTTCCAAATCGACATGAAGGAACGAGGGATCGGGGAATTAATCCACAAAGCTATAAAAGAACGAAAGTTGGCCGAGACCATGAAATGAATGTTCCAAATCCTCCACCACCTAGCCCACACATTCCAGGATAGATCACAATGAAAAAATAGATGGGATGTAGATTCCTCAAACTTGCGAGTTGCGACAGAAAACGCAGCTATTGATTATGCCTAAACTAACGCCCCGCTTAATGAGTTCATTGAGAATTCTACCATAGATGGCTTTCCAGACGAAAGACTTAACTATGGGGGGAACAAGGTTTGACCAAACAAACTTCCAAATGTGTTCAACTTCTAAATCAATCGATGAAGAGACTCGTAGTGATCTTTTGGATAATAGCGTTTATCTGAGGAAACTATCCACACAGAGGAATCAGAAAGAATGTTTGCAACTGAAGCTCTGTTCAAGATTGACATAAACTGCTCCCAGATATTCACTTCCCATGCGCAAATAAGGAACGACGAATTTCAATATTCCATAGCCATTTGCCACATGATTTGGTACCGAATTCCAGCATAGTCCCGCCTTCAGATAGCCAGCGAAAAGATGCGGGGGGGAAGCAACTTTTAGGGTGCTAACTTTATATTTTTGGTCCAACAGCCATACCAAAAATCGATCGATTTCCCATCGGCGAGTACTAACCTTATATTTTTGGTGTAGTGGTCTTCCGGATTAGAAAGAGGTCGGGTGATGTTTCTCCAAATCCAAGAGCTTCTACGAATTGGAATGGAATTCGGAACCAATGCATACTGGTCGTAGTTTTATTTTTCTCCAATAACCTTTCTCCACAAACAATTGTGTTCTTTCCCGAATCTCCACACCCATTTGCTAAGCATGCAACGACCGGTTTTTTACTTTAAGATCAACAAGACCCAATCCTCCATATAATTTTGGGTTTGAATAATTGATCTCAATTGATCCAATGGATGCCTTTACCATTAGCGGACCCCAAATGAATTTGGCAATGAGTTTGTTAAGTGAGTTTGCCACCTCAACTGGTAATTGGAAAAGAGAGATGGAGAAAACCGACAAACTTGCTAAGGTGGACTTTACTAGGGTGATACGACAAGCCAAAGAGAGCATCCTGCCTTTCCAACCATCGAGGCTCTTATTGAATTTATTGATAATTGGATCCCAAATGGCTCTAGAATTTCGGGAGGCACCAAGGGGCAGACCCAGGTATGTAGTAGGAAACACATCGGTATTGCATCTAATAGACGTTGCCCAATCTGCCAAATAGCTGTCTTCAACATTAATCCCAAATAAAGCGGTTTTCCTAAGGTTGAGCTTTAGTCCCGAAGCTAACTCGAAAGTTCTAAGGATTCTCTTAATGTTTTGAACATAGCCAGCTTCTGCTTCCGCAAAGATAATGAGGTCGTTCGCAAATTGGAGATGCGAGATGCGGAGATCATTCTTTCCAATTGTAACAACTTTAAATAATCCCGATGAAATGGCCCGATATAAAAGAGAGCCTAGGGCTTCACTTACAAGGTTGAATAGTAGCGGAGATAGAGGGCAACCTTGCCTAAGCCTTCGTTTGATGGAGAAATATTTAGAAGGCGATCCATTTAACAGAACAGAGATTGAAGCGGTCGAAACACAGAGATTAATCCATTTCCTCCACCTCTCGCAAAAGCCCATTTTAAATAGAATGAGGTCAATGAACGCTCAGTCAATTGTGTCATAAGCTTTCTTGAAATCGGCTTTAAAGACTATGGCAGCTTTCTTTTTTTGTTTCAACTCATTAATCAACTCGTTTGCTATTAGAGAGCCGTCAAAGATTTGTTTACCCGCTACAAATGCAAACTGATTTTCCCCAATTAATTCGTGCAATCAAGCCGGGAGTCTGTTGGATAAAACACGGGCTTGTATTTTGTAGAGGTTGCCAACAAGTGAAATTGGTTGGTAGTCTTCGATGCCGGACGGATCCGCTTTCTTTGGGATTAGAGTCAAGATTGTATCGTTAATAGACTTGTCTTCTAGTTTTCCATTGTAGAAAGAACTAAAAAGAATTATCACATATTCCTTAATGTGGATCCAAAACTTTTTGAGAAAATCGAGGTTAAAACCGTCGGGTCCTGGCGCTCGATTTCCATCCGATTTTGCTATAACTGTCCATACCTCCTCCGAAGTAAAAGGAAGTTTGAGGGAATTTGCAGACGAAGAGCTTAGAGAATTCATGGAGCCTTCAAAGCATAGAACTGGAATGGTGTGGATCGTATTATGCAGCTCTTGAAATTGATTCAAGAATGTTGCTTCGATTAATTTATGATACGAAACAGTAGAATTATTGATTTGGAGAGAGTATATTCTATTTTTTGTTTCGAATTGAGTCGATAACGTGGAAGCATGGAAGAATCTCGTGTTCCTGTCTCCCTCTTTGAACCATTTGAGTTTGGACTTCTGTAGCCGGTCTTTTTTTCAATCCTCAACTTTTTCCGCAACGTCGATTTGTGTTGGGCAATCTCTTCTATGATCTGCTTATTATGTCCGAAAGATAACAGTGAAGATTTAAGTACTAAAATTTTCTTTCAATCTCTTAAATGGAACCAGCAGCTTTAAACTCCGAGTTACTAGCCCACTGTTTGGAGGCCACTTTAATGCTTCTTAAAAGTTTATCGACCCTTTTCTCTCATCTCTTTACTAGTATCCATAACCAGGTTGGCATAATCCTTCCCATTGGCCCAATGGTTAAACCATTTGAAAGGCCTTAGGCCACTTGAGAATCAATATTCTTTTAAGATGATGTGGCAATGATTGGAGATGCTTTTTGACAGAAGAAATTTGTCAAGCCTTCTTGCTGACATGGAGGCTCCACCACGAAACCATGTGAATGGACCCCCTAACAAAGGTAGGTCGACTAGCCCGTTGACTTGGATAAATTCCTCAAGATATTTTAGTAGGGATGTGGGGGGGGGGGGGATGGCACCCGAACATTCTGATTCATCTCTAACTGTATTAAGGTCCCGGCAAATTAGCACTGGAGACTTGCAAGAGTCAATAATTGAAGATAAGCAATTGAAGAGCACCCGTCTTTCACTAACTGCATTTGGAGCATATACATGGATTATCAAGCACCTCAGGTTGAACTGCTTAATTAAGGGTAAATATGATTGCTCTATCAAGGATCAGCGTCTATTCTGTCATGAAAAAGCTAGAATCGCATACGGTTATTATGCCCCCCGAGGCTCCGAGGGAAGGAGAGAAGAACAACCTGATAAAGATATTCCCGCACAGGTAATTTTGTAGACGGAAATTTAACAATTCAATCTTCGATTCTTATAGTAAGGTTATCTTCGATTCTTAATGCTAGGTCTCTGCCTATGGGTTCAATATGGTTTAGATTGGGCCCTTCACCATCCGCGATTGGGACTTCATGTAACCATGTCCAACTGGAGCTAGAAGGATCTCTTGAAGGCTCTTCGGTGGGTGGATCGATGGGATTGGGAACCGAGGGATTAGTCAGCCATCATTAGTTTGATCCACCTGTCTGACAGCCATCTCATTTCGGACAACTCATTAAAAGTTAAACGATATATTAACATGATTTCAACGTGAGACGATTTAAATTAAAAATAATTCAATTTATTTAAAAAAATAAAGGGTAAATTTATATTTAATAACTAAACTATCAGTTTTGATCCATTTTAATTCTTAAACTTTCAATTTTTTTCAAAATCACCTAAAGTTTAGTTTTTATTTCATTTTAGTCTCCATATTCAAAATTTAATGTTTAGGTACTAAAAAGAATCAAAAATTAATAGTTCAGGTACTAAACACGTTAAGTTTTTAACAGTGAGATACTAAAATGAAATAAAAACTAAAGATTAATTATGGTTTTAAAAAAATAAAAGTTTATATACTAAAATTAATAATTTAAGTAATAAATGCAGAATTTATCCAAAAATAAAATTATTCTTATGGCCATCCAAGCACGTGAAATCTGCTAATCATGTTGGCTGTTGCCCACTAAGAACCTAATAGAAGGAGACAAGTGATAGCGGTAGGTAGAAGGGGGCTGAACGAAAATTAGGTGGGGCTGATGAAGCCTCGTTTAATTTTAATTTATTTTTATACGATGAATAATTTAATTTAAATTTAACGATATATATTATATTTACCTTTATGTTAAATTATTAATATATATTCGATCAACTTTTATCATTAGTTTCAACTTTCAATAGTTGTTTCATAAACTATAATTAATTATAATATAGAAAATAAAATCCTATAAAAACAAACAAATAAATAAGCAATGACGAAATTAAATAAAAAAATTGTATAAAAATCACCGATGATGAAATTAAATAAAGAAAATAGTAAAAATTACCGATTTTTCCATAAAAATGTATAATAACGTATAAAAACACATTTCCTATAAAAAATACAAAAATAAATGAAATACATATACAGCAAAATGAGAGAGAAAAGGGAATTCTCCCCCCCCCCCCACCTATTGTGATCACTAATCACTTTGTTGCAACACTTGGTATTGCAACATATTGGACGAAGCCTTCGTTCGGATAGTTAAAAGGGTGATTGATTTCGAATGTTGCTGCGTAATAATATACATCGATCTTTCCACGGCAGCTATTGAACTCCATGGTTTGTTCCGAAAACAAAAGTTCCTGCACCATCACAAAAATGGACTAATTACTAGGTAGTTCAAATTCATCAAGGAGTTAACAGGAACGAATAATGAAGAATGATCAGTGTACCAAGTGTAGGCATTAATATCGACAAAATCACGATGCCAGCGATCTTAAGCGGTATCCCCGTCTTCACCATATTGGGAATATCTATATGCCCCGTCATGAATCCGACAACGTTAGAAGGTGTTGCGGTCGGAAGCATGAAAGCGAGTTGCGATCCGATTGCGCCAGGAACCATAAGGAGCAATGGGTGAACGTGCATTGTTTTGGCCATTTGAATCAAAAGTGGAAGCACGAGGGTCGCCGTAGCATCGTTCGATGTTATGAACTCGGTGATTATGGCACTAACCAAACAAACCGCAGGGGCGATAGCTAAATACGGAACCGCTTCGAGGAAATCTAGAGTTCCTGATAAAACATTGGCGAGTCCGCTCGACTGGACGCCGTCGGCAATGGCAAAACCGGCCCCTAGTAACAAAATAATGCCCCACGGTAGCTTCTTGCATTCATTCCAGTCCATCAATGCCTCACCCTTTTGCTTCTTGTTTGGGATTATGAACAAAAGTGTTGCCATGAGAACCTACACGGTTAAAAATTATAATTGATCACAACCAAATTATATACCAAAGTGCAAGGACTAAATTCTTGAAATGTATAGTACAGGGACTGAAACATAATTAAACCCAAAGTTCATATTACTCACACTGACGGTTCCATCGCCTGCACGGCCATGGAAGAGAGCTCCCCAGCCTGGAATGTCTTCTGTTATGCTTCTGGTCATCCACAAAGCTATCATCATCTGTAATTAAGTCAATACATTATTAACATGATAATCAATGACTAGAGAAAATAAATTATATCTAGTTAAAAGTTTCGGGGTTAAGATTTTAAACTATAAGATTGAACATTAAAATAGATAAGATTATGTATCCAATAAATCCCATAAATACTAACTCCAAATACTGCTAAAACCATCTTCTCGGCAAAAGCCATCGGGCCTAACAAGTCCAATTCTCGCTTCAGATGCGCTCTATCCAAGTATGGAGCGAGCGCTTGGCTCGATCCCCGGCGTAAATACAGCAAGCAGAGAATCGCCCACAAGGCGAAGAAAATCGATACGGCCAATGGAAAACCGAAGAAGAACCATGTGTTGAAACCGATGGAATCGGCTTCCGGTGAGGAGCCTTTATACATGGCCGCCAATATCAAGTTCACGCCGGTTCCGGTGAGGGTGCTCATCCCGCCGATGGGTGCGGCGTAGGTGACGCCGAGGATGACTGCCCGACAGAAGCTGCGGACATGAGTTGATTGGATGGGACCCGTCGGGAGACGATGTAGGATCCCAGTGGCCACCGGCATCATCATGACGGCGCTCGCCACGTTGTGCATCCACATGCTGACGAAGAACGTGGTAGCGCAGATGCCGAGTAGGAGCAGCGGTGGATTCACCGGTTCCCCGCAGAATCTTGATGTGATCTATAATTTTTTTTTAAAAATGAATTAAATAATTATTGGTTATTGATTATCGTCATATTTGATAGTTCAAACTTAAAAGATTTAAATATGAATAAGATATTTAAAAAAAAATAAAAACTCACATTTAAGGCCAATCTTCTATGAATATTGTAACGTTCAACAGCAAGAACAAGTATGAAACTGCCCAGAACAAGGGTAATCACATCGTCCATATAAGAATGTGCAACAGTATCGGCAGAAGATATTCCGAAGAGAGGGAACAAGAACAGAGGTGCTATGGAGGTGATCGGCATCGGCACGGCCTCGGTCAGCCACCAGGAAAACACCCAGGCTAGAACCGCCAACATGCTGCGGCTACTCACTGTGCCATCGAACTTGACAAAAAGACAGATGATGGCACACAATATGGGGCCTAACAGGACATACAAAGTTTTGAGTGTGACTAAGGATTTGAGAGAAAAGGGTGAGCTCGACGATGGTTCGGCACGATCGTCAATGGGGAGAAGTGGGGTTTTTGGATCATCGGCGGACATTTTTCCGGCGATAAGGATATGAATTTAAGAGAGGTGGAAAGGCTTGGTTTTATATATGAAACTTGGGAGGAGGATAGTTGTAGACAAATTTGCGTTTTCTTCTCGTTTATTTTTGCCGCAAGTTGCTTTTAACTGCTGACTAGTATGATTAGTATACGTATATGTTATGAATACATATTATATATTAACCGTATATAAAATTATGTTTTTTTGATAAATTACTTAATATATTAATGATGAAGGTTTTTAATAGGACAAATCAAACTAACAAATTGATGCATAGAATTATTTAATATTGGTAAAAGGGTAATTTCGTCTTTGTAGTGGAATCAATTTATTATTTTCGTTCATATTGTATTTTCACTTCTATTTAGTCATTAAAACTACTCAATTGCATCATTTTATACTCTACTCATAATTGAAAACTTTAAATTATAAACTTAAATTAGAGTTTATGATTTAGACCTTAAATTATAAATTATAAACCCTAAAGTATAACCTCATAACTATAAACTCTAAACCTATAAACCCTAACTTAGGGTTTATAAATTAAGGTTTTAAGTTAGGAATGCAATTAAACAACTTTAAAAGTTAAATAGATGAGAAAATATAATAAAGATAAAAGTGATAAATTGAGTCTATTACGTAGAGAAATGTGATATTTAAACCTTTAATATATGTATATTAAAAAATATTCTTTTATATACACCAAAAAGAATATTTAGGGTTTTAAGATGTTGATCGCATATTCGCATGCATCACGAGAGAGAATGCCGAAACAAACTAGAACAAGAGATGGGCGATTATGTATGGTTCATGCACCACCTGAACAATTGAAGGAGCTGCAATTACAGAAGGAGACTCTCTTAATTATTAGATTTATACAGTTATTTCTTTTATTATAAAAAATAATAACTACTAACAGTTAATTAATCTAGTATGATAATATATTATATTTTTAAATTAAATTAAAATTTGTACGGATAAAATAAATTGAGCTTAAAAAATCAACTTCATAAAAAATCTATATAATATACAATCTAAAATAATTGATTAATATATAGCAATAATTATAAAAAAAACGTGGGTCAATAAATCATCATCAAATCCACGTGGATATCTTTATTCCATACATTACCTTATCCTTTGTAGATCGATCATGACATGTGGCATGCGTGATTGATTGTTCCATCATATAACATGGTCAAAATATTATTTTGGTCCCCTTTTCGTGATCAAATTTGACATCTAATTTCTATATTTTAATTTGATATTATTTAGTCGTTCTTTATTGTTTTTTTTTTGCCATTGTTTAATCCAAACGATTAGCACGATTACTTGTTTATGTTAAGATGGTAACATGATTTTTCTTAAATACACTCATTTCAACTAATAATACCAATATATTGGGTAAGCAAAAAAAAAAAAAAAAACAAATAAATTGAAAATTGACTCGAACTGTAGTGTTTGAACTTATTATAGAACGCAAATTTTAAAATTTCAATTTTTCGAATCCAATTAAATTTTAATTTATTAATTACTTTTATTTTAATTTATAATTAAATTTTAATCTATTAATCAAAAAATTAATTTTTAATTACTTTTATTTTTAATAATGTAAAAATAAGTATGTTATATTTTAGAATAACGAAAATATTTTTAAATATCAATTAATTATTTTTTATTTATTTGAGAAATTATTTTTTAGAAATATTTATTATAAAATATTTAAACTTTATCAAATAATGTCTGAAAATAATAAAATAAATCAACTTTATCGTAATAAAATCTTAAAAATCGAAACACAAAATTCATATAAAAATCGATAATTAAACCAATCCGGAATTATTATGGACAATTTAAAATGTTCAAAAGGCATGACTGAATCGATTCGATCTCGCCCAATTAATTTGACTTTTTGTACTGGAAGAAGTATCTTAAAAGAAAACATCAACTCAACATTTTGGCAGGAATGGTTAATGGTATTTAGTCTTTGTATTAACCAAACACGTTATATAAATAGAGGGGATTAGAATCTGTTAAATTAGAACTTGGGGACTAGATCCTATATTAAAGTGTACTAGAGAGATTAGACCATAATTTTCCCTTTAAATTCAGGAATGGTTAATGCTGTGAGCTTTCAATTTGCAGGAAATGGTAAAATATCCGGGTGACCCAGTCAGCCAAACAAGTTGTTCTTTACGTATTTTCATTAAAAACGGTGGTAATAATGATGTTTGTTGAGACATGAAAACGAAATTAGGTAATAGAAAATATTTTTTTTTGAATAAGTAAAATTACATTCATCCAAAAAAGGAAGGCATCAATTGCTGTTACAAAACAGATGCTCAAAAACACTACATCAATCCCTAATATATACACAGTTCCCTATTTACATCATCAATTCTATTCATATGAGTTATATGCAATTTGATTCTAACAGATTCTTTAATACAACTAACAACAGCTCCAGCCAAGCGATGAGTTCCTCCAAAATGTATGTGATTCCGTTCCTCCCATATGAAGTAGATGAATCCAGTCCAAGCCAACCTGAGAATATGCACTAGCAGAGATTTACCCTTAAGGTTAAGTAACAGCCACTGGAAAGAACCATACCAATCGAGAGGCGTCTGAGAAAGACCACATGAGAGAAGGATGGCAGTCCAGATTTCCTTTGCATATGCACAGTCAAAAAAAAGGTGGTCGCGAGATTCAAGACCCGAACTGCACATACCACAACCTCCATCCATTACTACACCAAATCTAGAGAGCATGTCCTTTGTGGGCAATCTATTCAAGATTGCCATCCAAGAGATCAGAGAGAACTTTGGGATATGGCTAGGAAACCATACCAGGCGATGCCAACGTACCTTCTCGCACCCATTCCGAATGTTATCCTATATCCATATGGTATTGATTTGGTCCCAGCAACTGTAGGAGCCAAAAACCCTCCTAGCTTAACTCCTCATTCTAAACAACTTTGCTAGGATCCAGCTGAAATGAGCCTTAGAATCAGCATTCCAAAAATCTACTGATCTAAGGCAGTAAGAATTCACCCAAGCAATCGAGAGAGAGCCCTCTCCTGCCAGGATTTTCTTGATTAGCAATAAACAGCAAGCCTTACTCCAATCAGCCAAACTCCTCAACCCTAAACCTCCCTCAGATTTCAAGGAACGGATTTGGCTCCAACTTACCCTAGCTCCTCTAGCTGGGGAGCCACACCCTTTCCAGAAAAACCTCATACATAACTTCTCAACATCCCTGATAACCCCTTTTGGCAGAATCAACTGCCTGCTCCAATAGCTGAAAACACTGAACAGAACATATTTGATGAGTTGCAGCCTGCCACCAAAACTCAACTTCTTATTAGACCACTTGCTGAGCTTCTCCTTAATCTTTACCACCAAAGCAGAGTAGTCTTTTCCAGTGAGCTTCCTAGTCACCAAAGGCACTCCCATGTACTTTACAGGGAGATGCCCAACTCTAAAACCTGTACCAGCCTGAACTTGCTCAAGAACAGACCCAGATAAACCACAAGCATAGAACTTAGTTTTCTGCACATTAAGCCTCAGACCAGAAAACTCATAGAAGGCCTCCAAAGTGCTCAAAACACCCATAACAACATCCATAGAACCATGACAGAATACCAACAAATCATCAGCAAAGCAAAGGTGGGTGAGGGAGATTCTCTTGCACTTGGGGTGGTATTTAAAAATACCATTCTTGGTAGAGACATCCAACAAAGAAGAAAGGACATTCATCACCAATACAAAGAGGTAAGGGGATAAAGGGTCCCCCTGCCTGACCCCTCTAGCACCATTAAAATAACCAACTAGGCTTCCATTCAAGGAGATTGAAAATTTGGAGGAAGTGACGCAAACCTTAATCCAACTACAAAACTTCAAAGACAGACCCATAGCCTCCAGAACAACCATCAAAAACTCCCAGTTCACAGAGTCAAAGGCTTTTTGCAAATCAAACATGATAGCACACCTAGGAGAGAGGCTCTTTCTAGAGTAACCTTTGACTATTTCCTGAGCTAGCAATGTGTTATCAACAATATTTCTCCCCTTTACAAAAGCCGATTGTCTTAGAGAGATCATTCCAGGAAAAAAGAGAGCTAACCTAGTAGTAATGATCCTAGTGATGGTCTTGTATACTACCGAGCAACAAGAAATAGGTCTAAAGTCTTTAGCCCTACTAGCAATCAAGGATTTTGGGACTAAAACAATAGTAGTTGCATTAAAAGCTGACAACATAGAAGAGGATTGAAAGAAAAACCTTACTGCAGCTAAAAAATCAGTGCCAACCACTCCCCATGCAGCCTTGAAAAACCAAGATGAGTAACCATCAGGACCAGGGCTTTTCCCATTGCCTTGCCTAAACAAGGCATCCTTGATTTCCTTATCATCAACCTCCCTTGTAAGCATTTCTTCAGCACAAGCATCCAGGGAGAAGTTTAACAAGCCCTTCAAATCTACCACAGAAGGGCATCTAACCAAGGGATCAGCTGTCCCAATGAGATTAGTAAAGAAATTCACTAACACAGCAACCATATCATCAAATGAGTCCAAAAACTGCCCATTCTCAGTCTCTAAAATTTTTATGGTATTCCTCTTTTTAATTGATTCCGCAACCTCTAGACCCACCAACTCAGTATGAACAGCTCTCTCCTCATCAATGTTCCTCATATCAGCATGGCCCAAGTTCCTCAGTTGGATCATTTCCAGCTCAGCTCTTTTGCAAAGAACTCTTTTTGAAATATCGGAGTACTGCTCATTGTTAAGGATCTTCAATTTAGGCTTTAATCTTTTCTTCTTAGTGAAAAGAATAGAAAATATTTATTTTATACAGGTGGCTTAATTTTACTTGATAAAGATTATGCTGACGTGGAAAGTAAATATCTATATGCTTTAGAGATAAGTTCTATGGATGTCATTGTTTTGTTTGTGTTTTTTATTAGTCGTAATAAATTTATGGATAAATTATATCAAATTAAGTTTTAATTTTAGTGTTAAAATTTACTTTTTACTTCAATTATATTATTTATCCGTTAATTTAATAACAGTGCGATGATGTAAACAACGTTTGCTGATATGAGAAACAATGTCGTTTTGGTGAAAGAAATTTGAGGGAAAAATGTAAAATACACATGAGGAGGTTTGAAAGCTTAGGACCTTAGGAAAAGAAGTTGGGTGTATTTAGCATTTTCTTTTTCCGACTTTTTCTAACAAAATGACATCATTTTGATGTGATTATATTGATGTCTATGCCGGCATTCATATTTTTTTTGTATTCACGTCGACAATACTCATCTATGTCATTATAGAGTTAATAACTCGAATATAGAGTCAAAATTGAAGCTATTAAAAGCTCAGTCGTAAAATTGGTAAAAAACACTAAAGTTTATTGATATTTAATTTAGTTTATCCTAAATTTAAATCACCAACCTAATCTATCTTTAATGGAATTAATTAATAATAAACGTGGAATGCATGTGAACATTATTATTGCATCCCTATCCATTTCTCCAGTATTGGTTACTATGACTAGCTGTAAACGATAAAAGAATTATTTATTTAAAACCATTAAAAAATATGGTAACATGCATTTAGTATTTAAATTATCAATTTTGATCCATTTTAATATTTGAACTTTTATTTTTTTAAATCATACCTAACGTTTCGTTTTTATTTCATTTTAGTATCAACCATTAATAACTTAATGTGTTTAATACCTAAACCATCAATTTTGATCCGTTTTCGTAACTAAACTTTTAATATTTTTCAAAATTTAACGTTAAATTTTGAACGGAGATACTAAAATGAAACAGAAACTAAACTTAAGAATGATTTTTAAAAAATTGAAAATTTAGGTACTAGAACGGCCAAAACTGATAATTTAGATACTAAATGCGTAATTTGCCCAGAAAATAACGTATATTTAATTTTTCTTCCTACCTCTTATAAGAATGTCATCTTTTCATTTTTAAAATATAAATATTTTGTCATTATATTTTAATTATGAATTAACTTTGTAAAGGATGCAGTATTTTTAATTTGTCAGAGAACAAAAATCCTGGAGATGATCACGTGGAAATTGTAATGATTTTTTAATCAATATATGAAGAATTTTTATTTCATTTTAAGCATTTTCCTTCTCTTTTTCCCACATGAAACATAATTCTATTTAGGTTACCTATTTTAGTTGTGAAAACAGCATAGAGAATATTATATGAACGGTAATAGATTGAATATATGCAGTTTCTGTGAAATTTAAATTTGGATTGCAAATCTATTTTTAAAATCTAAATTTATTAATTATTTTCATTAAAGTCAATTATTATCATTCAAATCAGAATGCTATTTAATCTAATTATCTTTTAGATATCCTAATATGCATGTAGTAAGTAAAAAAAACTAAAAACTAAAAATAAAAAGGATAATGAATTTAGGTATCCAAATTAGTTTCTCGCAAAAATAAAATAAATTTTAATAATAAATGTTCAAAAAGTAATATTTATATATGCTACAAATTCACTATAAATAATAATTATTATAACAAAATTCAATTATTGTCTTAATCATCAAACTAACACGAAATTATTATTATTTTTATTAATTTAAGTTAAATACAAGGTAATATACGTTCAAAGAATACTCTCAATCATTTGACATTTATTGCTCACACCTCTGATATTCCTAGTACTTAAACCCGAACCTCAAAAAATAACAACAATTCATTTACCACTAAACATACTAGTAACGTGTTTAAACCGAGTGGTATAGGGTTGTGTTGAATGAATAAAGGTTTTATGTTATTTTTTTAGGATTAATTATAAAATAAGTGCTCAAATTATAACGTTCTTCACGAATAGGTGCCTAAACTATTTTTTTTGAATGATCTTGGTGTCTAACATTACAAATGTTATCACTTTAGGTGTCCAGGTTGTAAAAGTCGTTAATTTTTCCCGTTAAGTGACACGTGTCATATTTTGGTAATTTTAAAAAAAATTATTTAAAATTAAAAACTAAAGTTATATTTAAATAACACAAATTTTGAAATAACCTCAAAACTTTGAAAATATTCATTTCAACCTCTAAACCCACATTGATCATCGTCCTTTACCTTCGACGAAGCTCCACCCGACCTTACCTCTCCAGCAATCAATACCCCTATGAAATCGCGACTGATATATGGTCGATTGATGGTTAATCAACATTTTGTATCCTGTGAACCATAGGATGAAAATCACGATCTCACACGATTTCGATGGCCAACGACTGTAACTATGACGATGTATGACTAAGATGAAAGTAGGGAGTACATTGGCAGTTGTGCTCGTAACCGAAAAGGATGGCGGTGGTGGGTTAGGGTTAGATATTTAGATTTTTTTAAGGATTTGAATTTTTTATAATTTAAGAGAAATTAGAGATTTTAAAAAATATTAATAATATATATATATATATATATATATTTTTTAAATTAAATAAATTTCAAAAGGAAACTTCCTTCATCCAGCCGTTTTGTCTCCTCACTGCTGCACAGGTCTTCATCTGATGCTCCGTTGTGAGAAGGTTACAGAAACCATAGATCCTCGTCGTCGTTGGGTCAACCTGGGTCTAAGGTGGGTCAATCCACCTCCTGTCTTCAGCTGTCTGATGCGCTGCTCCCTCTGGGATTTCCTCCACCCGATATTGGTCTTCTTCTATCGCCACTGTCTTGGTCATTTGATGGGCTACTCTGTTTCCTTCACGAGGGATAAAACGAAACATACAATACTGGAAAGCTCTGGATTTATGTTGCGCTTCCCAGATAAGTGCGTTAATCTCAGAGTTGTCTGAGTTTGGTGAGTTTAGCTTATCTGTTACCGCTCGAGAACCA